GTATAGGTCTCATAACAGCTGCATCTCATTCGTCACGTCGCGTAACAAGGTTGGGTCTGATTCCTTAATCCTTGGTACCGGGAATTCTGTCTAACAAATACAGGCACCTGATTTTTTAAAAAGTCACTTTGGATCAAAAAGGGTAGGTAATTACTATTATTATTATTTCTGTGTAAATCAATCAAAATTATACCTATTTTTTTGTCAGATCGACAAAAAAATGTAATACCTTTTCGGTGTGCCACAGAATTTTAGTAATTAGTTTGTGCCATGAGATGAAAAGGGTTGAAAATCGCTGCTGTAGCTGGTTCAGATCGGTTGTCAATCAGGCCGCACGGCCCGCCTCCGCCCCTTTCTGACCCAGAAACCAGCTGAGCATTGGCACCGGCTACGGGCACAGCCTCCTCCAGAGGGACGCAGGCTTCTCTCTGGGCATCTCAGACAGATAATTCCGGGTGGGGGCCGGGGGGCGATTTTAGGACGGTGAGGAACGGACGCTGAACAGCCGTGAGAGATGTGGTCGTGGGGAAAAAGGGGAATCCAAAGGGCATACACTGTCCTTGACCTCAAGGGGCTCACAGGCGACGCGTCCAATCGACGGAATTACAGAATCAGTAGCCAGTCCTCTCTTACGAGCACGGACCGACTGATCTGTGATAAAAAGCAGTGTTTTGTAATAAACGTAAACTCTCCCCGCTGTGTGCTGCCCAGGCCTACTATTCAGAAACCAGCAGTTGCTTAATAAATGTCCACAATTATATTCATTTCAACTTGTCCCCAGAGCCCTGGCTTGTCTCCCTTGCCAGTGCCACTGGATATATTGATACGAGTCAGCGTACGTGGTACTCATCAAAGAGGGGTCCGTCTAAAATATCCGAAAATAAGCTCATCAACAGTCCTGGGCTTCAGGCAGGAGACCTGGATTCGGGGCCTGGCTCGGCCACTCTGGACCTGAAAGCTTCAGAGACCCACCTAAAGACGTGGACTCTCGGTTTCTGCCTCATGGACAAGAGTAAAAGGGGCTCTTTGCCAAGAGCCAGAATTGCCAACAGGGTGGAACGAGAAGAGGTGCCAGGAGATGTTGTAACTATCAAAGAATATACCAATATTATTTGTAAGCGTCTCAAACACTTGGGGATGTTTACTAAGCTGTGTATTTATCTCTGTTGGCATTTTCTAATCCACCTGTGTGTAGGTTAATTATGGATCTGAAACATTTACTATGAATGTTTCCTTAAGTAATGCAATTAACAAGCAAGAGGCAATCGCAAAGTCTTGTGAAAATGGTTGAAAATGCCTTTACATCGTCTTAAGCTTTAATAATTTGCTCAAGACTTTTTATAAGCATTATTTCCACACCATCTTTTGGGGACGGATATTTCATTTAGGTGTTCATGTTTGAAGCTAAGAATTTAATCATATTTTGATTGTAGAGCCATCAGCACCACCTACTGTATCATAAATACAGGCGAGACCTGCACCCGGAGCGTCTGCTTTTTCTAGGCCAGGCAAACGAAAAACTTAAAATGCACCGGATCAGCTAAGCAACGGACGGATCCCGAGACAGTAAAACCGCCATGTCCCAGGCCACTCACTGGTGTAGGTGAGCTGGAAGCCCTGGCCGGTGTCCGAGCCGTTGGTGTTGAACTCCAGCCACAGGTGGTTCGAGGTGCTGTTTAGGACCAGGCCTATCAGCTCGTTCTTGGTGAAGGTCCCCAGGGGCCGCGAGGAGCTGTCCCGTCCATCATACACCTGGGGAGGAGTCACAGCGTGAGACAGTGCTGCTCCATCACGCTTAACGGAACAGCTTTAACGAGAAAGTCAAATAACCGGCGGTGTGGTTCTACGTAACACTTTACAGGTTCACAGTTTGCAGAATGGAGGCCGGATGAAGCGCTGGGCAATCCTGTTCTTTAGGCTCCATCTTTACCATGAACATTAAAGACAGAGATTGATCTGAGTTCAGATCACTTCACGTTCATCACTCCAAGAGCTCTTTCTGCGTTTATTTAAAATCAAATAAAGATTTCTTTGCATTTCCAGGTTCTGTTACCTACTTTTCTCCCCTCCCTTCTCGCCCACTTATAAAGGTTGAAGGATGTGGCCCAGCCGGCGTGGCTCAGCTGTTGAGCATCGACCTAGGATCCAAGAGGTCAGGGTTCGATTCCCCATCAGGGCACATGCCGGGTTTCGGGCTCGATCCCCAACAGGGGGCCTGCAGGAGGCAGCCGATCAGTGACTCTCATCATTGATGTTTCTGTCTCTCTCTCTCCCTTTCACTCTCTGAAATCAATAAAGATATATATATCTTTATTTATATATTTATATTTATATATTTATATTTTATTTATATATATATTTAAATATATCTTTATTGATTTCAGAGAGAGAAAGGGAGAGAGAGAGACAGAAACATCAATGATGAGAGTCACTGATCGGCTGCCTCCTGCAGGCCCCCTGTTGGGGATCGAGCCCGAAACCCGGCATGTGCCCTGATGGGGAATCGAACCCTGACCTCTTGGATCCTAGGTCGATGCTCAACAGCTGAGCCACGCCGGCCGGGCCACATCCTTCAACCTTTATAAGTGGGCGAGAAGGGAGGGGAGAAAAGTAGGTAACAGAACCTGGAAATGCAAAGAAATCTTTATTTAATTTTAAATAAACGCAGAAAGAGCTCTTGGAGTGGATGAACGTGAAGTGATCTGAACTCAGATCGATCTCTCTCTTTAATGTTCATGGTAAAGATGGAGCCTAAAGAATAGGATTGCCCAGCGCTTCATCCGGCCTCCATTCTGCAAACTGTGAACCTGTAAAGTGTTACGTAGAACCACACCGCCGGTTATTTGACTTTCTCGTTAAAGCTGTTCCGTTAAGCGTGATGGAGCAGCACTGTCTCACGCTGTGACTCCTCCCCAGGTGTATGATGGACGGGACAGCTCCTCGCGGCCCCTGGGGACCTTCACCAAGAACGAGCTGATAGGCCTGGTCCTAAACAGCACCTCGAACCACCTGTGGCTGGAGTTCAACACCAACGGCTCGGACACCGGCCAGGGCTTCCAGCTCACCTACACCAGTGAGTGGCCTGGGACATGGCGGTTTTACTGTCTCGGGATCCGTCCGTTGCTTAGCTGATCCGGTGCATTTTAAGTTTTTCGTTTGCCTGGCCTAGAAAAAGCAGACGCTCCGGGTACAGGTCTCGCCTGTATTTATGATACAGTAGGTGGTGCTGATGGCTCTACAATCAAAATATGATTAAATTCTTAGCTTCAAACATGAACACCTAAATGAAATATCCGTCCCCAAAAGATGGTGTGGAAATAATGCTTATAAAAAGTCTTGAGCAAATTATTAAAGCTTAAGACGATGTAAAGGCATTTTCAACCATTTTCACAAGACTTTGCGATTGCCTCTTGCTTGTTAATTGCATTACTTAAGGAAACATTCATAGTAAATGTTTCAGATCCATAATTAACCTACACACAGGTGGATTAGAAAATGCCAACAGAGATAAATACACAGCTTAGTAAACATCCCCAAGTGTTTGAGACGCTTACAAATAATATTGGTATATTCTTTGATAGTTACAACATCTCCTGGCACCTCTTCTCGTTCCACCCTGTTGGCAATTCTGGCTCTTGGCAAAGAGCCCCTTTTACTCTTGTCCATGAGGCAGAAACCGAGAGTCCACGTCTTTAGGTGGGTCTCTGAAGCTTTCAGGTCCAGAGTGGCCGAGCCAGGCCCCGAATCCAGGTCTCCTGCCTGAAGCCCAGGACTGTTGATGAGCTTATTTTCGGATATTTTAGACGGACCCCTCTTTGATGAGTACCACGTACGCTGACTCGTATCAATATATCCAGTGGCACTGGCAAGGGAGACAAGCCAGGGCTCTGGGGACAAGTTGAAATGAATATAATTGTGGACATTTATTAAGCAACTGCTGGTTTCTGAATAGTAGGCCAGGGCAGCACACAGCGGGGAGAGTTTACGTTTATTACAAAACACTGCTTTTTATCACAGATCAGTCGGTCCGTGCTCGTAAGAGAGGACTGGCTACTGATTCTGTAATTCCGTCGATTGGACGCGTCGCCTGTGAGCCCCTTGAGGTCAAGGACAGTGTATGCCCTTTGGATTCCCCTTTTTCCCCACGACCACATCTCTCACGGCTGTTCAGCGTCCGTTCCTCACCGTCCTAAAATTGCCCCCCGGCCCCCACCCGGAATTATCTGTCTGAGATGCCCAGAGAGAAGCCTGCGTCCCTCTGGAGGAGGCTGTGCCCGTAGCCGGTGCCAATGCTCAGCTGGTTTCTGGGTCAGAAAGGGGCGGAGGCGGGCCGTGCGGCCTGATTGACAACCGATCTGAACCAGCTACAGCAGCGATTTTCAACCCTTTTCATCTCATGGCACAAACTAATTACTAAAATTCTGTGGCACACCGAAAAGGTATTACATTTTTTTGTCGATCTGACAAAAAAATAGGTATAATTTTGATTGATTTACACAGAAATAATAATAATAGTAATTACCTACCCTTTTTGATCCAAAGTGACTTTTTAAAAAATCAGGTGCCTGTATTTGTTAGACAGAATTCCCGGTACCAAGGATTAAGGAATCAGACCCAACCTTGTTACGCGACGTGACGAATGAGATGCAGCTGTTATGAGACCTATACGTTTATGGTTCAAGGCAGGGCGTTCACACCCGACAGCCATTGTGTCGGCTGTTGTCATTTTTTCATTTGACAGTCTCAGGGAAGAGAGGTCAGTGTCCCTGCCTAAATAGGCAGGTGTTGCATGTTATAAAAATTCTGGGCACAGGGTAGAAAATCACTAACCAACAACAACATATTCCGTGGAAGAGAAAATGAGAGCCCAGCGCCTGGGCTTAGGCCCCGTCCTCTCGGTTTTATTAACCTAATGACAGAATTTAAATGACACCGGCATTAACTGCACCGTTGTAAATGAGAGGACGGCTCGGGTGCGAATGTGTCGTCCAGGCCAGGGATGAAACACTGAGCGTTGTCACCTCCCTCCTCCCAAACGAGTCAGAGACGCCGCAGGCACCAGGCACACGGGCACTGCGAGCCACCGGCGGCTGGAAACAAGCCTGGAGGAGAGCAGTGGGCGCCGGAAGCTGGTTTGAATACTGGAATCGGATGGGCAAGGAGAGCTGATTCTGCACAGACCCGGCTGTTGCCCTGCGCAGGTTAGCGCAGGTTTGATTTTCTTTGGGTGCCCCCATCCGCCAGGAGCCACCCACCCGCTTGTTTCCCAGCTTTCCCGAGACGTAACGGACACGACCCTGCGGAGTGTCAGGCGCGGGGGCTGGTTTCATGCACGTGCCTGCGGTAAGATGACTCCCGGGAGGAAGCCAGTCCTCGCCTCCCCCCGCACGCAGCGCCCAGGTCCGTGCCTGGGCGGTAAGATCAGCCTGTCCCTGACAGGGATCCTTCTGGGACCAAGGATGAAACTTAAGAGCACACAAGGTGTTCATTTCATAACCATTTCCTTTTTTTTAAACACCTGGATTTTGGAAATTCTGTGCAAAATAAGTGGCAGTTCTCAAATGCGAGTTCTAGAATCTAATTTTAGAAATAATAAAGACATTCACAAGGTTTCGGTACGTTGCTGGTTGCCGGGTGTGCAGGCTTTGTATCTGAAAGCAGAACCGCCCGCATCAGGCAAAAAAGAGCGTTCATCCGCTCCGGGTCCTCATGGCGTGTTATGTTCTGGAAGATCCTGTCAGCGGTGTTTCCCTCAACAGGTAGCTTTTAAAATTATTTACAGTTGTTCTGCAGACCTGGAAAGAGTATGAAACAGAGTCAAAAAATAACCAGCATGCCTGTGAGTCCACTCCACAGATTTTTATTTTGTTTCAAGGAAGATTAACATCGCGGCAAAAGTATCTTGCTCCGCATGTGACTCCGAGGGGCAGCCACAGAGAGGAGCCAGGAGCTGGGGGCAAACCCACAGACGTCACTGAAAATCTCTAAACCTTTAAAACCGACACAGTGCCTTTTGTCCCCGATCTAAAAATTCTCTCGCCCGGCCTGCGTGGCTCAGCGGTTGAGCGTCGACCTAGGATCCAGGCGATCAGGGTTCGATTCCCGGTCAGGGCACAGGCCCGGGCTGCGGGCTAGGCTGCCGATCAATGACTCTCTCATCACTGATGTTTCTCTCTCTCCCTCTCCCTTCCTTGCTCTGAAATCAATAAAGATATATTTTTAAAAAATATAAAAAATTAAAATAAATAAAAAAATAAAAATTCTCTCTACCTGCTCATATAACCAGGCCTATTTCCAGAAAACGAGTCCTATACCTCTAACCTGACTACTTCTAGGTTAGAGTCATTTTAGTTTGGGGGTCAGCATTGAAACGATCCCCCGTGAATTCTTACCAAGTACAACATAGCGACTCTCAGGGGTGAAGAAGAAAAAGCTAATAGCTAATTTCTAATAGGCTTCAAACTAATACTTTAAAAAGATGTGTATATATTAAGTGAAAATAAAGAAGTACGCTCAGGATTTATTGGGCTGTGGGAAGGTGGTATTTATTATAAGGAGAGAAAGCCGTGCAGTCAATGACGGCGGAGCCAGGACTGTGTGCTGTGAGCGGCGTTACTGGGAACCTGTTCTATCAATATATCAAGACACATCCATACATTTTTATAAGCTCACACCTTCCTGTAAGAATTCTGAAAATTGCATTTTTCTCTGCACCTGCAGGAAAATAAAGCCTATAGCGCTGTGCTGCGTGTAATACATCCTTCAACTTAGAATGACTTTCAGTGGGAATATCAGGATGGAAAAGGCGGTGGAGGTAATTCAGGCGCAGCCGAGGGGCGGCCGCCGGGAGGTCCCTGGAAAGAGCTCTGTGTTTATTGTAAAACAAGATGGACATTTTATAAAGGGGGAGGCTCTGCCATCCCTGGGGACGCCACCGAAAAAAAGCAGTCCCCGGCCCCAACCCCAACATGCGGCTCATGGTTTGCATAGAAAATTATATTCTTACGCGTACACTTTCAGGTAAACGTCAGGCTAGATATTGAATTATTGTAAAGCATCATTAGGAAAATACCTGGGGCCAAACCTGACAGATTTTCAAGAGGAGCTGTGTGGGGGTAAGTCTTCGGGGACCTGCTGTGCTGAGACGGGAACCCTCCGACCTCCAGGCGCGCCGCCCAAACAGCAGGACCGGCACTGCCATCGCCTCCCAGAGGGAGGGAAAGGCGAAGTAGTAATACGAGGGTTTTGAGGACGGAAAGTGACGCAGTTGAGCTTAATTGACTCAGCACCTAAAAGCTCATCAGAGGAAGAGCTGGGCAGGCTGCCCAGGTGGCTGGACTTCTCCTTGGATGCTTGGTCATCCCCCGGCCTCACGAGCACCGAGAGCGCCGCGGAGGCCAGCACGTCAGCGTGCGCAGTGATTTAAACAGTTCCGATGAACCCGTGACACGCTCGCATCTCTGGAGATGGGAGAGTTGCCTAATTAGGACGTTAGGTCACGGCCCCCGTCAGCCCTCACTCCCTGTAGAAGCTGTTGCCTGCCGGTCAGCTGGGAAGGGCCTCTCCAGAGCTTTGCCTCATTTTCCATGAGGGTTAGTTTTGTAAATTATTTTAATTTTGTGATTATTTCTTATATTCTGTGACAGTGTACTGGTTGGTACACACAGCTATGTATGTTCATCTCTCAGAATGGATGAGCACGCTGTTGGCCACCACTATTCTGAGAAAGACTAGGAATGGGCGACATAATTTAATTAGAGGGATTAAACGAAAAGCTCGTGACTTGGTTGTGAAATAAAACGGAGGCTGCAAATGCTGTAACACTAGCGTTTTACGGGAGGAGCGAGGGGGGTGTTGTTCCACTCTCATGCTGGGACACGGGGAGCAGCAGTTACTGTATCCAAGTCATGGATACATTGTTCCTACAAAGGGCCGCCCCTGGGAGGCAGGGACCTCAGAGGGGACCAGAGGTCGTGCTGTTTCTGAGTTTATTTTTTAAGCGTGTGTTAAGCATTTCCCTTCTTAGTGATGCTGTTAGAAGAGAAAAGGCACGAGAGCTACTTCGATGGGCAGTTATTACTCTTCTCCACGCCATGAATTTTGACGTAAGGACATCTGAAGGTTATTCAGGTCTCTCAACACCATCGAATGAGGTTTCATTGGTTCTGTACGGAGCAAACATTTCAGAAAACACTGATGTGAAGAGAATCCCACCTGTTGAATTCCGGGGCAGATAGACTGAGGGATATGAAAAATATTAAGGCCGACGGGAACACTGGGCTTAAACCTGGCAAAGACTCTGGAGTGAGGCACCCGTCACATTCAGTGGCAAATGCCAAGGACACATTCGGTGTCCAGGTTTCCTCTCCACAGCCCTGAGGGGAAGGCCCCGCCCGCCTGGCCCCTGTCACCAGCCGGCCGTTGGGTCCCGGGTATCACAGAGCAAATGCTTTTTTCTGTAACAAGCAGTTGGTGTTGGACACACTTAGTTCTGAAAGTCCATGAAATTGGAAAACTCAGAGCATGCTTTAGCTGTTAAAAGGGGTGTAAATTTTTCTTAGGACGATTTCAAGAGCTCTGACTGCTTTGTCGTTGTTAATCCCCACCGGGGGATATGTTTTCCGTTGATTTTTTTTAGAGAGAGTGGAAGGAAGGGAGGGAGGAGTGGGCGAGGCAGAGAGAGAAACATGGGCCACCTGGTTGCCTCCCGCACACGCCCGGACCGGGGCCGGGGATGGAGCCTGAACCGAGGTACCTGCTCTCGACTTTGACCCTTCAGCCTGTGGGCTGACGCTCTGACCACTGAGCCACACTGGCCAGGACAGCACCCTGACCTCCCGCTCCTGTGATGGGCGAGGGCTGGGTGTGGGGCCGCAGAGACCCAGAGGAGCCCAGGGAGGAGCGGAGGGCGAGGCCCGTTTTTCTGGCTCACTGACTGTTGTTTAGCGACCGGGGCAATGGAGGTGGCAGGTTCCTGGTGGGAGGAGGAAGGGCTTTACTTTCAGGTGGCAGGATTCTGACATCTTTTGGCATTTGGTGTTAGGGGTCAACCTTGCTGCGGTTTGTAGCGCACGAGGCAGACAGGGCTGAGGTCAGCGTGTGCCCGGTGCGTGTGGAGTAACCTGATTCTGATGGAATGACCGTGAGAGCAGGTGGTCCAGGTGAAACAACAAGCGACAGGTGAAAAAGCTCTTAATTTCTGGGACTCCCGGTGATTGGAATGAGATGAAGAAACAGGGGACACGCGGCCCAGAGGGTGGGTTCCGGCTGGCGCGAGGTCTGCGCTGTCAGGCCCTGTAATGAACCACAGTGAGGACCCAGTGGGGTTTCCTAAGACCGCGACTGACCATTCGGTCCACCAGGGACCTACTCCCCAGGTCACGCGTGAGCAGACTGAGCGGGAAAACGCCCGCATGTAGAGTGTAAGGTTGGGGTCCGGTGGTGGTCAGCGTAGTCTGCAGCCGGGTGGACGCCTGGGCCCATCGCCCGTAGGCGCCACAGCCATGGCCACAGCCACGGCCACAGCCACGGCCACATGTCTGACTCTAATGGAGCCACAGCCAGAGGGCAGGTGCCCGACGCTTCCCGATAGCTTCGGGGCTCATCGGAACCCGGTGCGTATCCATCTCGGTCAGTAAACATCAGCTGAGAAACCAGGGTGACAAACGCCAGAAGCAGAGCCCCACCCACAGGACGGCTGTCTCCTCGGAGGCCTCTGGCGGCGGTCGTGCAGGTCGGCGTGACATGAGGTCCCTGCGAAACGGGCCGTTCGGGGCAGACTTGCTGATCGGTCCCCCTCACAATACAGTCAGCACAGACACGCTGGGAAATAGCCTGCACGTCCCCCGTTTCTTTATCACTGCGAATGCTGACTTATTTAAGTCATATTTTAAAATGTAAGAACCCTAAAGGAAGAAAGTGCTTCTAATAGGAAATATAAGTAAACAGATCGTTCGAGAAGCGGAGAAACTGTTTTCCCTCTAATTGGAACCCGCTCCGTTATTTAGGCTTCTGGCTGCAGAGCCGCCGGGGTGTCAGCCGTCCGTCAATCACCAGCCGGGTGAAGTCTCTGCGACCGAAATAACGCTGATCTGAATATGTCCGTACTGAATCCGTAGGATAATAATAGTAATAATAATTTCATGGAAAATAACCTGTGCGACGGCCATCGCCTTATGTAAACGCGTCGTTAAACATTTCCACGGTGACAGGTAATGAGACGGATGCGCGTCCCTCTGGAAAGTGTGTTCGTGGAGGAAAATGAAACTGTGGCTCTCGTTCTGGGCTCGTTCAATAATCTTGCAGAATCCACTCCCAGATTTCACTCACTACCTACCTATTCTGATCAAATGCTATTTTTAAAACCTTCCAAGTTCTTTAGGCATCGGAAAGTATTCAAATCTGGAAGAGATGCATTTATTTTCATGATTTTGAAAGCCAGTTTGCTGATTTTTTTAGAATGTGTAGGAAGCAGTGAATGTCATGTTTTAATAACACTTGAAAGTCATTAGAAGCATAATAGCTTGTTTGAATCGAAGGCACTTACTAACAAACAGGAATTACAATGAGAGTCAGTGAAACAGCGACGTGAGCCTGCTTCACCGTTTCCGTTTGGACCGGCAGCCTCACCGGGTGGCCCAGCAACATCCCTGCCTTGAAGGAGGCGAGCACTCGGACCGAGTGGTAAATAATTCCNGCGTTTACGGTCCCGTCCCTGCCTTGGAGGAGGCGAGCACTCGGACCGAGTGGTAAATAATTCCCCAGGAAACACGTAAAACTAGAAACACACCCATCATGGGAAATTCAGGGAGGGCGGAGGGCGCCCGGGAGGAATCTCTAGGGAAGCCTCCTCTGGAAGGTCCCGGACGTGGCACAGACGGGAGGCAGAGGCGGGAACGGCTCCGAGGCTTCTGGAGAACCCAGCACGCTGGCTGGAGACGTGGCTCGGCAGGTGGCGACTTGGAACTCTTTGGGGAAAAGTCCTCTTCAGCACGTAAACAGAAGGAACAAAGAAAGTGTCACCCCTCAGGGGACACCGAATGGTTAACAAGTAAACCGCTCAAGACCCACATTGACGTCCCCCTTTTTAAAAAGATTCACGAGTGTCTGTTCTTTCCACGTTGCAGGGACACTGGACACCGTGGTCTCTTTCAGTGGCGTTAACCCTGGGACACGTGCCGCGGGGCTGCCACTCACTCTCCCTCCCTTCCTCGCAGGCTTTGACCTGGTGAAGTGCGAGGACCCCGGGGTGCCCAGCTACGGCTACCGGATCCGGGACGACGGCCACTTTGCGGACACAGCCGTCCTGTTCAGCTGTAACCCCGGCTACGCCATGCACGGGAGCGGCACGCTCACCTGCCTGAGCGGCGACCGGAGGGTGTGGGACAAGCCCTTGCCGTCCTGCGTGGGTGAGTGGGGCCCAGCTGCGGTCGGGGGACCCTGCTGTCCGACTGCTGTCCTCCCCGTGGCTTTCTACGTTCCTAGCCTTGGTGTAGGTTTTCTTAGGCATGAAAGACGGACTTTGCCCTGGCCGGTGTGGCTCAGCGGTTGGGATAGTCCCAGGCACCAGGAGGTGCCGGTGTGATTCCCGGTCAGGTCAGGGCACCCCCCTGGGCCGTGGGCTGGATCCCAGTGGGGGCCTGCAGGAGGCAGCCGACCAACGTTTCTCTCTCTCTCCCTCTCCTTTCCTCTTTCTCTAAAATCAATAAAAACATTTTTTTTTTTAAAAAAAGAAAGATTTTCTAGTACTATTTTATTGAGACTATATGCAGAGAATTATTAGAATTATAACAGGGGTGATGCATTGTTTTATACTCTCAACTTTCATTACATGAAGACAGTGCCTTCCCACAGGGTGATGCTTGGGAACAAGTAAAGAAAACAAATGACAGGGACAGAGGTGGCTGTGATTTTTATGGATATAACACAGACACGATGGGGATTTTTTTTGTACCTAAATAAAACCCGTGACCCCTGGAGTGACCTCCCCATGTTCTGTGTCTCTTGCAGCAGAGTGTGGTGGGCGGGTCCACGCGGCCACCTCGGGGCGCCTGCTGTCCCCTGGCTACCCAGCTCCCTATGACAACAACCTGCACTGCACGTGGGTCATCGAGGCCGACCCCGGGAAGACCATCAGGTGCGTGTCTGATTTTGCTCCAGTGGAGCAACAGTCTCTCCCTCGGCATCCCTGGTTACATGGAGGTTTCTGAGATGCAGAAGGTGTGCTGTGGGGGTAAATTGTCCGGTGGCTCACATGCCAACTCTGGTGTTTTTTTGACAATGTGTGTTAACCATGTATAACAAAACATAGCAGAAAGTGTATCAGTTAGCTTTTGCCGCATAACAAACGGGCCCCCAAACTTAGTTGCTTAAATAATTATCGATGTGCTCATGATGTGGGACGTGGTCTGGGCTGCTCTGATCTGGGCGAGCTCGGCTGGGTGGTCCAGGTGGCCTCACTCAGGTGGGGGGGCCTCAGTGGGACGGTTGGGAAGGCAGGGCCTCTCTACCCCAGGTTTCCGTCCCTTCAGTAGGCTGGTCACCATGGACGGTCTCTGCGGCAGGAGACCACACGCTTTTCAAACCTCCACCTGCATTACATTTGCTAATGTGACCTTGGCCAAAGCAGATCTCAAGGCAAGATAACAGTCTGGAGAAATATAATCCTCCCTTAATGGGAGAAAACAGAGCCCCACTGGAAGGGACCCACATACAGGCTGGGAGAGCCATGGGCTCCTCTGTGGAACACTGGAGTCAGTGTGGGGTGGACCAGGAATGCCGTCCAATCTGACGGTACACATAACAGAAAATCATTAAAAACTGTGCACCTGTTTTAAGAGAGTTTCTATTTCAATGGATAGTTCTGAGTTATTGTGGTTAGTTTGTTAAACAACTAAGTAAACCAACAACAGTCGTGTTTTCACAGTAAGTTCTCATGGGCCAGTCTGGAGGCTGTGTCAGAATCCACAGTCCATGGAGCAAATGGTCATTTCCAAGTGAGCTGTTCTCCAAGTACAGTCCCTGATGAGCTGGAAGCGAGCGCAGGGCCCTCGGCAACACTCCCCGGGTCCCTTCTCCGCCCAATGCCTTTCTCTTTCATCGTAGGTGCTCGTGAATCTCTCCACATTATTTTTAAGCTCTGCCTCCCCACCCCCGACAGCCCTAGTCCCCTTGTCTGGGTCCTTGTACCCCTGCCCCATGTCACTGCCCCACGGAGACCGGATGGTCCGGCCAGGCCACCCGCCCCCCTTAGACATGAAGGTGGAAGGAAGCGAGAGGCAGGAGCCAGGCGCCCTGTTCGGGGCAGGTGGGCGATGGAAACGTTCACACTCGGGCACTTTTCTCATTCACGAGGCATCCAGCAAACTTACTAGAGTTCAACAGGTACAGACTCATCAGGCCGCATCTTATAACTTAGTAAAAGTGAAGAGGGAAGGCTGGAGCGAGGAGGTGCGGGCTCTGTCCCACGACGTGCGGGCCCCCTCTCAGGACAGCCATCCTCCCTGCCATTCACCTTCTAGCCCGATCCCGTGAACACCTTTGAATCGAGTTAAGCAGATGTGGCACAAACATGATCTCTCTCAAACCTACGGAACATGCTCACTACCCACAAGGAGCAGGACAGGAACTCAAAACATATATTACAAAACTGTATTTTATATTGACTCTTAAAATGTACTGCGTCGTTGATTAATGTAAACGATCATTTATACACTTATAGGTCTTTTGGGACAAATGTTAGGCATAGTTGAGTAATAGAATTTAAGATTCAGTATTCTTCATGAAAATCAATGCAGTCGATTTTCATTGAACTAAATAAAATTAAATATTGGTTCTTAACTTCAAATTCCCAGAGGCTTTGTCTGAGTAACAGAAAAGCCATTACACTGCTGCTGATTTTTTAAAAAATCCTAGGAATCGCCCAGCTAGCGTGGCTCAGTGTTTGAGTGTTGACCTATGAACCTGGAGGTCACGGTTTGATTCCCGGTTGGAGCAACGCCTGAGTTGCGGGCTCCTCGATCCCCAGCAGGGGGCGAGCAGGAGGCAGCCGGTCAATGACCCTCGTCACTGATGTTTCCCTCCCTCCCTTCCCCTTCTTCTCTCTGAAATCAATAGAAACACATTAAAAAAAAAAAAAAAACAGGGACCATCTCTGACTCAGGAAAGGACCTCGGCTCGGCAGGTGGATTTCCCTCCAGGAGGGTCTCAGGTCTGTGTCTGACGAGCTCCCCAGGACGCGCTCTGACCTGGGAGTGAGCACTGAGTGCAGACCAAGCCAGGCTCCCTCTTTGCAGGCGAATTCAATACGTCATTGACTTTTCAATAAGAAAAGAGATTAATAAAGAATGAACCGAGGTGATAAACAATGTATTAACTTTTGTGTCAAGAACTGACTTTGGTGTTTAACGATTAGCATTCTAGGAAAAAATGACGCGACTTCACCAGTTTCCTCTCCTGGGACTTTTTCTTTCCTTCTGTGGCAGCTCTTCCCATATGAGAGTCGACCAGATTTGTAATCAGATCTTAATTTAAGGCATAAAGTCCTTTCTGGTAAGAACCTTACACTGACAAGTAACTTACCCCCAAATGTTCCTGGTGATGTCTCCTCTTTAAAGAAACATATACTATTTTTTGATAGGTTGGTTTGGGAAAAAAAAAAAAAAAATACTGAAAAGTAAATAATATGTTATTTTAGGCTTAAAATGCTACTAATACTCAGAAAAAGGGTCTGGCCCCAGCGTTGATAATTGTCGGCTAGGCTGTGAGTGTAGGTCATCTCATGGCTAATGCGATGCTTCACTGTTTACGTGAAAATGAGGAATCAGTCAATATAATCTTGAGTCCAGGGATTAGTGTCAAATAATTCTTAATCTAAACAAAATTCATTATCATACACTCCTGTGATTTTTTAAAAATACATTTTTATTGATTTCAGAGAGAGGAAGGGAGAGGGAGAGAGAGAAACATCGACTGGCTGCCTCCTGCTCGCCTCCTGCTGGGGGTCGAGCCCGAAACCCGGGAATCGAACCAGTGACCTTTTGGCACCCAGGACACCAACCAGCGGAGCCACACCATCCAGGGCTGATTATTTTTTCACCCTACATGTTTTTTACTCCAAAAAATGAGCAACAAACAGGATCTTTGAAATGGGGAAAGACTAGGTCCTGCATTTCTGCTCACTGCCACCGGCTGACTTTGATTTCATGGAGGCCCAGAGCAGTTTCTGATTATGTTTTGCTACAATTATTTATTTGAGGTAATAGAAGACCCTGAAATAGTTGTTACAGGGCACTTGGGTCTGGAAGAGTTTGTAATTTCAGCATATAGGCTATAAAGCAGTTACCTGAGCAGAATTTAATTAAAAGTCTGATGCGACAAATTTAGCCGCGTTAGGAGTTATATGTAGACATTTCTCTGAGCCCCAGTAGCACGCTGCGAGCACAGCTGTAATTTATAACAAAAAGTGACGGCCATTTTCCGTAATCGTAGGTGCATATTGTTCCTTGGTTTTAATTGCTTCTCTGCAGGTGTAACTGTCCGGAAAACTGACTTTGAAGGTACTTCTGTTCCTAGTGTAGCCGCTGGCAGTCGGGCTCTTCCACGGAGTCACGAGAAAAGCGTGTCTGTCGGGGACCCAGGCCTGGGAGGGTGGGGGGTAGTGGTCAGATGGGTTAGAGTAGAAATAAGGGACCGTCCACAGGTGCCCCGTGTCTCACCCATGACCAGGTGGCTCAGCTCCATCCCGCTGTGGAAGGTCCAGCCTTGTCTTTACCAAGCCCAGAGGAAGGACCGGGGCCCAGGAATTCTGTGCCATTGGCCTGGCATCTGCAGGGCATGGGGCGCTTTCGTAGGTCAGTTCTGTCCACGCCAAAGCTTTGTCCAGCTCGGCCTCTGCCCCCGGCTGCGCTGCCACACCCAGGCCACGCTGAGCCCGCGCTTGGGCACGCTCCGCCGCCAGGGCCACACCGGTGACCCGCGAACGCTGCTGCCCAGAGGGGTCTTCGTGAGGTTCCGAGTCTGTTGTCTCAGGCTTGGCTTCGGAAAGCGCTGGCTTCTTCCTTCCTTCCTTCCTTCCTTCCTTCCTTCCTTCCTTCCTTCCTTCCTTCCTTCCTTCCTTCCTTCCTTCCTTCCTTCCTTCCTTCCTTCCTTCCTTCCTTCCTTCCTTCCTTCCTTCCTTCCTTCCTTCCTTCCTTCCTTCCTTCCTTCCTTCCTTCCTTCCTTCCTTCCTTCCTTCCTTCCTTCCTTCCTTCCTTCCTTCCTTCCTTCCTTCCTTCCTTCCTTCCTTCCTTCCTTCCTTCCTTCCTTCCTTCCTTCCTTCCTTCCTTCCTTCCTTCCTTCCTTCCTTCCTTCCTTCTTCATTGATTTCAGAGAGAGGCAGGGAGAGGGAAAGAGAGAGAAACTTCAGTGATGAGAGAGAGTCATCAATGGGCTGCCTCCTGAGCGCCAACCAATGACGCTGGGGATGAGCCCGCAACCCAGGCGTGTGCCCTGACTGGGAATTGAACTTCAACCTCCTGGTTCATAGGTCGACGCTCAACCACTGAGCCACGCCAGCTGGGCAAACTGGCTTCTAAATGAACCAGCCTCCTTCCTGGCTCTTTGCAGGCTTGCGCTGGGCCCTCCCCCCTCCAATCGGACCCTTTCCCAGGCCAGGTTCTTCCCCTTATGGTCCCGTCTTGGCTCCTGCTGAGCTTCCCCAGCAGAGGAATTTCCCCTTTGCTGTTTTATCTCCCCCTGCAACCCCGGGTAGCGGCCCATCGACCTCGAGGAGAGCGGAAAGCTGGTCCTGGAGGGATGTTCACACCCTTGGGGGCACCGCTGCTGTCCCCTGGAGTGTGGGGAGCTGTAGCTCCGGCCTAATTGAGCTCATCCAGTTTTCTCGCTTCTCCTTTGTTAATGTCTAGCTACCTACGCTCACACTGTTGTCAGGAACTGGCATCGGAGGTGCAGCTGAGGGGGGCCTTTTGGAAGAGTTCCCGCTGCATTAAAACATTGCGGGGGCATCACAAATGGTCGCGATGGTCAAAAGTGTCCCTCTGCAGGGTTTTACAGAAAGCGGCCTGTGGGCTGTGGTCCGAGTGTCCCTCTGACGTGCCCGGGTCTGTTTTGGGGGACTTCAGAGAGATTATGCTGAGGTCTGGCTCAGAGATCTAGGAATATTTTAATTTACTTTTGACCAGACTTCAAGGTCCCTACAGGAGTGAGACTGGAGGAAACGCTGTTCCTTTATTAAACATTGTCTCCTGTCTCCGTGTTGAGCCTCCTATGGGTGCCGGAGCAGGGGTGGGAGCCCTTTGCTGACGTAACCGACAGGCCTGGCCAGGAACCACGGCCCCCCGCCTTCTCCTGTCCTACTGAGACCCCACTGGGGTGTCCCCTGTCTTCTTGCGGACAATACCGGGGAGTTACTGTGGAGGGAAGTCCAGCCCTCGGCGGAAGAGCAGGGGCACCAGGCTGCCTGCCCAGAGTCCACGGCTGGACTCCAGGCCCTGTGGGGGGGCCCGGGAGCCTCCGCTGGGTGCAGGGTCCCTAACTAGCCCCTTAGCGCCCTGAGCAAGAGACCTGGAATGATTTAACCAGCACCAGTCCCCCAACAACACGATTGCCACTGTGCTCACCGTCAAGGGTGACCGGTGAGAAACCCTGTGGACACCGACTTCTCCTGCGTCCACGGGCCCCAAGTTACCGTGCCTGTCACGAGGCTCATCTCGGGCCCCGGCCAAGGTCCTGTTCTCCTCCAAAGCCCCGTCACGGTCACTTCCGTTCACAGGCAGACAGCACTGTCCCCTCCCCGTCTCTAGGGATAAACCCAGCTGGCGTTTTATAAAAGTGGACACTCAAAAGGGGGACCGGCTGCAAAGGTGCAAGCGCAGGGTCAGGGCTCATCGGGGAGGTGCGTTCGAATCGCACTGAAACAGAATTACGGGGGACGGCGGATCGTGCTGATAACGCCCGTCTCCCTCCTGAAAGGCTTTACTTTTCAGTATTAATTTTACTCCTCCCGTGTCTCCTTCCCCAGTCTCCGGTGTTTCCCCAACTTAGAAACGTGAGGGGCTGTCCTGCGCCTCATGGTCCTGTCGGGTTGACTGCAGGAAGTTTCTCTACAAAAGGCAGTGAGAACAGTCCATCCGGTGCAGAAGCCACCTCTCGCTTACCTGTCCTTTCTCCCCCTGCCGNGTCCTGTGCAGAAGCCACCTCTCGCTTACCTGTCCTTTCTCCCCCTGCCGCGTCCAGGCCCTGGCTCCACCTGCCTCCCTCTGAGGTCACTTTATCCCCCTGACCTTTCCAAATCCATTCCCCACCTGCTGGGCCTGGGGAACCCCTGCTGGTCCGCAGGCTGAGCTCCCTCACCTGGGCGGCACCCCGAGCACCCGGCCCCCACCCTGTGCAGGTTTCTCTCGGGCGCTCACCTGGGCCCCGCACTGCAGCTCGGAGGACAGACCTCTCGCTGCCGGGGCCCAGCCCCCCCACCTGCGCTCCCGTCTCTCCCGGCTGCCTCGCCTGCGGGTGCTTCTCCTGTTCCAGGACTCAGTTAAAACGTCAGGCCCTCAACGGAAGCGCCACCCCGATTGCGCCTCCCACAAGCACCTGCTGTCTTCCCTGGGCTCGGCGCTGGCCCCACAGCTCCCTTCTCAGCTGGGGCCTGACCCTGTGCCGTCAGCACCAGGA